AGTCCAGATGGGCGCAAAGTGTTTACAAAGAGAAAGCTGTCACAAGTGGACAGAGGTGGGGGAAAAGACAGCCTGGTTCAAAGTAGGGCGGCTGACAACAGCGCAGAGTTCTCCACTGTGCAAGCACTGGAAGTCTGGAAGATGGAGCTGAGGTCTGGGGGAGAAAGAGGGGTGGGTGAGAAGAAAGCAGCTTCAGCTCCCCCAGAGGACCTACCAGGGCCTAAATGGAAAGGAGCCCACTTCTTGGAGATAAGGAGGCTGGAGTGGGGAGAGGCCTGGGATCCAGAGCTCAGGTTTCAGGAGGAACAAGCTGGGCTCAGGCTCCAGTCTCAGGCTCTGGGCTCAGGCTCCAGTTCCCACCCTGGAGGTGCGTGACTGGAGTGCTGGAGATCTGAGCAGCGCTTAACAGGGTTACCTTCCAGTAAGGTGAGAGCAAGCCTGTAACTGAGCTCTCCCCAGTCACTCTCCACTCCACAGTAAGAAACTAGCAGCTAGCAAGGGTGAGACACCCTGCACACAGGGAAGTCATGCCAGGGAAGTCATGCCTCTTCAGAGGGATGGGCTTAGAGAATCAGCCCCCTCCCCCCACCCCCAACTCTCCTCTGCTGTTTTTATCTCCACTTTCTACAGTGGCAGATGGTCTTTTCCCTAAAACCTATACTCCTCTAGTTTTATGACTAGGAGAACAATAATGTCTAGCTCTCATTTGCACTTTTTTCCTCCATTTATTTTCTACATACATACACATTTAACATAATTGGTACCTTACTGTACAAATGCAGGGTCTTCAAAAAGTACACAGAAATGTGTATTATAAAAAATTATGCTTGGGAACCAGCAGTTAGCGTAATGGCTATGTCGCTGGACTCCCACGTAGTCGACCGCGGTTCGTGTCCCGGACCCAGTGGCTTAAAACTCACGCCGGGCGCGTGTGCGTGCGTGCCCAAGATCCCGGGAGGAGAATGGAGGAGAAGGGATTGCGGCGTGACCATCCCCTCTGGGGGGTGATTTCTCGCTTTCTGTCTCTATGTCTCTCTCTGTCTGTCTGGCGAGCGCACGCGCCCTACAGTGAAAATCTCTCCAAAAAAAAAAAAAAATTATGCTTGGATTTCAAAATGTTTTGCACCAGAACAAACTTGTATTTTAATTCCATTTTTCCACAAATGTCTGAAGTTTCCTCACACAGTATGGGATCTTTGGTTTTAGCCAATCCATGTTATACATGAGAATGTTCCTGTTTTCATTCAGGTTTACACTGAAATATTATGCACTGTGGCATTGGATGGCTGTAATAAAAAAAAAAAAAAGAATTATTTTATTTAACTTTATTTAATTATTTTAATTTGACCAGAGAGGGACAGAGTGAGAGAGAGAAAGAGAAAGTGAGAATTTACCCTGCCAGTCTGGGACTTGAACCATGGTCAGTCATGTGGGAATCCAGTGCCCTTACCCACCATGCCACCTGCTGGCCCCATAACGAAATTCATTAAGCACTGTTGCTAGGTGTGTAGGCATCTAGCAGATTTCTTGCTATTTAACATGAGAACCATATTGAGGTACTTCTCCTAACTTTCAAGACCCAGTTCAATTCCTACCTCCTCCAGAAAGTTTTCCTGGACTACTTCAACACCCAGCAACACCACCTACTCTGAGTCACAACTATCTGTGGTCCAGCCGACATAGCTTGGCACAAAGCCTATGTGTCTATCACTTCCTTCTGACTGTCTCACGAGTATGGGCTGGTCCCAAGTCCAAGACTCTAGTGCACACATCTGGGAGCCCCCAGCACCTTGCACACAGCACGCACTCCCTATGGGCTGAGGGCTTACACCCCAGGCCCCTACAATCAGTGACTCGGTCTACGACACTTTCTAAGTGGCAGGAATGTAGAAACCCACAAAGGCCTGGTTTGATATTTTGCTGCTTCTCTGGCCACTGTAGAAGTAAAAAGGCCCCTTACTGTTCAAGCCTCACTTTAAGGGCCCAGTCCTTTTCACACGAAAGTCCTAAGCTTGAGCCAAGACCTTCATGGCTAAAGGCCCTCCTAGGCTGCCTAGAGCTTTGCTACACTCAATCATGGTGCCTGCCAGCCATCCACACCTTCCCCAGCGCTGTGTGGCAGGGATAGGCTCCAACCCTCGGCAGGCCGTGGTCTGGCAGGGTGGTCAGAGGCTTGGCTTGGGCTCCTTGGTGGGCATGGCCCCTGGGCTGTGCTGAGAGCTGGTAGCATTGTGTCCTGCCTAGCTGCCCTGCACACTTCACTGAGGCAGGACGCCCATGCTTCTGTTGACAGCAATGCCCCTGGTCAGGGAGAAACCTGAGTTTGCGGTCTCAGGCTTCCCAGCACAGGTGGCTCTCTACCTGCCAGGTGCCACCTGCACCACCACTCCCATGCTGCAGGCGACCCTGCCCCAACTCACTGCCTCCCTACCACTGCCTGGAATACCTGACAGGTATACCTGCTGCCTCCTGAAACATCCTCTCTCAAACAGCACCTCCTCCAGGAAGCTTCCCCTGACAGCCCCAGTAAGAATTCAGTTCTCCCTTCCCTGTGGCCCCTCAAACCTTTACCATGTCTACGTGAGATGGCACTGCATGTGTCCCTCTTCCTTGTGACATTTTAAGGTAGGGTAGGTTATTGACTGCAGAGATCGTCCATTTGCACTCAAGTCACCACTCAAAGGCAAGGTGGAGCAGGCCCAGTGAAGACCTGGCTGGCTGACACTCCACCTCTAACTTTTGGGGATGAGAAACAATTAAAAATAATAGCTGCCATTTACTGTGCTCCCCACATGCCAAGCACCTTACAGATGCTACAATTACTCGTAACTACCCCGATGAGATAGACACAATTATCCACTTTAGAGATGAGAAACAGGTTCAGAGCAGTTAAGCAACCTGCTAAGGTACCAGGCTGGCAGGTGGCAGAGCAGGGATTCACATCCAGGCCTATGTGACCCAAAGCATTATGGTGGGGAGCCCCGATCATAGCAGTAAGCGTGTCCATATTCATGACAGGTGTAGGATTCCAGAAGTCCTTTACTGAGGACCCACAGCCACAGCATCAGCTCACTAGCTTACGACTTTCCTCCAAGGGGCCAACAGGTGGCGTGGTGGTTAAGGCCCTGGATTCCCACATGGTTGACCCTGGTTTGAGTCCCAGACCTGGTGGTTTGCTTTCTTGCCTTCCCTTTTGCTCTCTATGATGAATGTGTCCTGTAGCAAATTATTAAAAAAAAAAAAAAAAAAAAAAAAAGTAATAAATAAAATTAAATAAATAAAATAATTCTTTTGAGGCCAGTAGGTAACATGGTGGTTTCGGCACTGGACTCTCACATGGCCGATTTTGGTTCAAATCCCAGATGTGGTGGCTTGCTTTCTCGCTTTCCCTCTCTCTCTGGTCAAATTAAAAATTAATAATAATAACGACAAATAAAATTAAATAAATTAAAAAAAAAACCTTCAAAACCAATGACAATCTCGGGACCAGCAGTTAGCATAATGGCTATGTCGCTGGACTCCCACATAGTCGACCACGGTTCGAGTCCCGGACCCGGTGGCTTA